TATATGATCCGTTAAGTCTGTTACGATTAAGGATTCATTTGGGACGATCTTCTGACTGGTTCTTAAAGCAGCATTTTAGTACAATAATTAAAATTTTTGAACCAAAAAACTGTTTTAAGAAGCAGTAAAGAAGTTGTCCCAAGCTGCGAAGCTTAATGAGCTGTAATATGTTATTATAATTAGAAAACTTGATAAGTTTTTGTGTTTGATAGTAAAATTTGAGTTATAATTTTGTTTATCTTTATATTTTTCAAGATAAATCATTCATAAATTATTTGTTTATGTATGACATTTTTAGAAATACTTATTTAAATTTTTGAAATTTGATATCATTTGAGATGAACACATGCAGAGTGAGGTTAAACAAAGCAAACACAAACATAAGATTTTCGGATATAACTGAACATCTGTTGAATTTGATTAGATCGAAAATTCAAACACAAACATGCTTCTATTCCTCCTTGTAAGTGTTAAGTGAAAATAATGTTTATTTATATTATATTATATTTTAGTAAAAATGTGTATTTTAGTTGTTGTTGTTGTACAGGAATGTCTAAGTAAAAAATTGTAAAGTTAGAACAAACGCCGCACAGCCCCAAGCACCAACGTCATAGTGCCTTCAACGCCACGGAGCCAAAACTGAATATCGCAGCGCTCAAGTCTCGAACAAAATTGCAATTAAATCAGCAGCCCGATGGAAATACATGCAGCGCTTCTGGCACCTCAGTGCCAAAAAGAGTACGCCATCATGCTTTGCTCTCTGTCATTTTTACAAATAATTAAACATTGAAGTATCGAATTCTGGAGCACCGCAACGGCAGTTGACATGTTCGAGCGCCGTAATGCCCATCTTTTGTAGCGCAGTGGTTGGACAGTTAAAATTGATTTATAAGGCGAACGCCGTGTCGGGTCAGCCCAACGTAGTAGCGAAGCTAGACAAGTTAGTAAAGCTAAGACGCTAGTTTATCACCACTCTATCGAGCGTTGCAGTGCCTAAGTCCGTTTGTGTGAGTAAGTAAAAAAAATAGTTTTTTTTTTCTTTTGAAAAATAAGAAAAAAAGAAAGGAGAGTGCAGGCAAACGTTTTGTGAAGTGGTTTTTCATCCGTGTGGCACGCAAAACACTACTTAAAGTGGAAGAGAATGTGGAGAGCTAACAAGTGAAGAAGGACTCACACAACTCATCTTGACCTGTTGGTTGAGAGCTTATGCTTCTTACTAAGAGGTCTTGGGTTCGAGTCTTTGTGTATGCGTTGTGTGTGTGAGTTTGCCTTAAATGGCTTAAATGTCCCAAAAAAAAAAAAAGTAAAGAAGGAATCATTTCAGAAAGAGTCCATCTGTTGGATTTGTTTGAGATTCTTAAATCCAGGTGATATTTTCTTCATTTTTTTATCACTTCTTAAAAGAAAATAATGAAAAATGTTTCAGCCCAAATTAGCTATATGGTCGAATAACTTTTTAGTTTTGGGCTGGTGATGTGAATAATATTTGTATTTTCTAATGTAGATTCTTATATGTAAATGTGATCAATGGTATTTCTTAGTTACTCCCGTGCTTAATTTAGTTCATGCAATGGCCATGTATAAAATTAAAATTTAGTTTGATACATTGCCTTTATTTGAGGAATGTCGAAACAATTAAGATGATTGATATAAAACTCTTTCATGCCAAGACATAGGATGAATAGGATTCTTTGGTCTATGGAGATATAATCACCGTAGAGAGGTAAAAATCTTTGTTTATACATTTATAACAATGATAGATAGTAAGGGTGTATATGGTCTGATTCATAACTATTATGGTTGAGCCTATTTAGGAAAACATAGGTTCATTCACTATAATTAGTTCAAAACATCTTAATTTATAGTTATCTTCATTTTTACTACAATTTTTACTAGTGGTAGCAATTCACATTCATTTCATTGAGTAGGATAAATTTTGTAGCTTTAGTAGGCAGTATTAGAGACAGTTGTAGCTCACTTACGTCCTTGTGGGATCGACTATCATAAATACTATTACTTGATCGACACGCGCACTTAGATTGCTGGGAATATTACAAAAGCATATTTTGTAATAGTTAAAGTCGCATAACCCATCAATTTTTTGGCGCTGTTGCCGAGGAAACAAAAGTGTTTTTCTATAATTTTTTTTAAATTGTTCAAAAAAGTTGCAAACTTAATCCTACTTTTATTGTTTAGTTTTTAATTGGTTAGTTGTATTTGTATTTGAATTTATCACTTGTGAAGTTGTGAGCCTGTTATTGTTTTTGTAATTATTGTTTCATTTATTTTTCAATTGCATTTCATCTACTGTTTATAGATTGTCTATGCATTGTAGAGTTAAAAAGGGTCCTCTGCTATTTGATTTAGAAATAAAAATAACACTTACAAGATTCTGAAAAATAAAAAAAGATTGAGTAAATCTGAAGAATAAAAATAGATTTTAGAAGTTGGTATGGCCGAACTAAATTCATATCAAGACTAACCTAGACCTCATAGGGAGTGTGCTAATTCAGAAGTAGATGGAATCTATCTGAGTATTAACCGACCTACAATACAAGCTAATAATTTTGAGCTTAAATTTGCCGTTATCCAAGTAGTTCATAATTCTTAGTTTAGGGGAGCTCTTATTAAGGATCTAAATGTACATTTAGCAAGCTTCTTGAAAATTTATGCAATGTTAAGGTATAATGGAGTCATTGATGACACCATTAGACTTCGATTATTTCTATTTTCTCTAAGGGATGGAGAAAAAATAATATTGAATTCCTTGCCCGCATACTTCATAACCATTTGAAATTTGTTGACAAATTAGTTTATAGCAAAGTATTTTATACTTTCTAAAAAGGGCAAAGCTTAGGAATAATATTACTTCATTTTTTCAATATGATAGAGAGTCAATTTATGATAGCTATGAAAGATGTAAGGAAATGCTTAGAAAGTGCTCTCATCATGCATTGTCTTGTTGTTTGGTGATTCATATACTTTATAATGATTTTTTTTATTTTTTTAGGTTTGTAATTGATGTGATAGTCAAAGAATCTTTAATGTCAAAATCTTTTTATTGATGCATATGCTTTGATAGAGAAAATATCAATAAACAATTTTTAGTGGCCTTCTGATAGAGTGAATACTAAGAGAGTAGCAAGTCTCTATTAGTCAAATATAATATTTATTTTGACTGCATAAATATCAGTCATGTCTAAGAAGTTAGACAATCTTGGTGTTATTACAGCCTCAATATCACGTATGCATTTGGATGAAAATGACTTGAATTATATGTTAATGATTACAGTGCTCTAGGAGTAGAGAATGTAAATGTGATTGGAAGATAAAATAAACCCTACTCAAATTTATATAATCAAAGTTGGAGGAACCAGCCTAATTTTAGTAGGAGTAACAATAACAGTAAAAATATGTGGAATGTTAACCATTCCAATCCTGTAGGACCTTGGAATAATCTTCATCAGTCCATAGTTAACCTTAGACCTTCTTACCCGGCCCCCAAGCCATAAGTAGATTAATCAATATAAAGATAGGAAAATACCTTTGTAGTATTTAGTGCTTCAGATTGGAAACAAATTTTAAAGGCAAACTATCATTGTTAGAAATTTAGATAATCAATTATGACAGTTAGCAATTTCATTTAGCACTAGACCCCATGGCACATTACTCGGTACAATTGAAGTTAATCCTAAGAAAAAAATGGAAAGAACAAATTACGGATCAATTGAGGAATGCTGGTGATGTGACACATCCACAGTAATAGAACTAGGCATATCTTGCTAAAGACTATAAACATCGTATTGTTTGGGAGACATCCCAATTCATTTTTGTTAAATTCTTGTGTTGTTCATATGAAATATTTTTATTTATTTCGTGATTTATGTTCATTGTGAAAATTACTATGTATTAAATTGTCATGAGTTTCCTAATTACAATTTTTTACTAAACAATTCTATTATATCTTTTCGAGCATTTTGAATATGTGCTTGAATTGATCTAGCATCGTAGCATTGGGCTTTAAAGCACTTTAGCGTTAGTGCTCCAAGCATTGTAGCATTTAAGTTTAATGTCTTAGCACTGAAGTTCCGAAAAAATGATGTTAGACACAATGCAAAAATGTTGTACACTCAAGCGCTAATATTTGTAATGCAACAGCACCCTAACAATATTATCTAAAGTAATGGATCATTATATTTAGAGTTGTTGTAACTGGTCATCTATTCATTATGAACATTTATTGAATGTCGCAGCGCTGCCCTAAGTGTTGCAATAGTCCATTAGTAATTATGTGGTATATATTTGTATGTTCTAGTGTGAGAACGGTGCAAAGGTGAAGAGTAGCAAAGGAGAGAGAGATCTATATTATTTCTCCAAAATTTACTTCCCCCCAACAATTAATCCCTCTTTTAATTTGGATGATATCTTTATTTTTATATTGCAGCCTGTTTTTAGTTGCTTGGCTTTTAAATTTTAAATTTTATGACAAAGAATCAAAATTTTGTTATTTTCCCTAAGTAGCAAATAGGCACCCTGTGGTTTATGGCATTTCTCAAAGGACAACTGCACCTAGTATATTTACTTATTTCAACAGTTTAGGCAGTTCATGGGAAGTGTGATAGCTCAAGAGTATGGGTCTTGAATTAGGTCTTCAAAACTTTCATTTTTGACTATGTGGATTACTATGGCTCTTATGGGACATCAATTATATTAGTACTAACAACATGTGCTTGTTTAGCTTTGAAATACTCTTTGTTAGTAACTTAATAATGATTTAATTTGATTTATTGCTTGCTTTCAAATTGAAGAGCTTATGTTTCTAGTTGTTGAGAATTACTGGTAATACTGATGGATTGCTCTGAAGTGTGGGTTTCTGCAATATCAAGAGGATGGAAGATACTTTGATCTTGGACATGGGGTATTGATAAAATTGAGCTTTAAAAATATCGTTGTTCTTGCTATGAACTCTTTTTTATTGAGATTGTATTAAATGCGGAATCTGGACCCAGTAAACCATTTGATTTTATGATTGTAAATAGTAAAAGCACAGTGGTGAACAATAATAGTGTTTTTACTGTTCACAGTCACACAACCAAACTATTCTCTTGATCTGAACTTCGCACGAAATAATCTCTCCTTTTTTAACAAATGCATAATTGCATCACAAGGTTAGGTTTGTCATCAAAATCTTCCCTCTAATCTATGAGAAATTTTTAGAAGAGCTTAGTTCAAAGAAAATTTTGAGTCTTGATCGCCCCAAAATCTCTCAGCAATAGCCTATTCCTTTTGATTAGCATAGTACAACTTGACCGTTGCTCCGGCAGCCAATTCCACATCGCAGCCACCGCCGCCGGTCTCACCATCCACAACCTTGCCCATATTCTCGTCTCCGGCGATCTCCAGCGGCTTAAACGTATAAAACCTCGCACAAACAAGATAGTACAGAAAGTTAAAAACTTGCAGGCCGGCCACAAGCCAATAATAGTAATCCAATCTCCCCTTATTAATATTGTTCTGCAACCAATTTCCCTGTTTCGACCTCTTGGTGAAATCGCTAACCAAAATCACCAGCAAAGTCCCGCCGTAATGCCCCAGCGACACCGCTAACCAGAACAGGGCCGCCGCCGTGCTCCTCATGCTCTCCGGTGACTGATCATACAAGAACTCCATATGCCCCACCGACGTGAACGCTTCGGCGATGCCGTGAATCGCGTACTGCGGCACCAGCCAGAACACGCTGATGGGCACGGTGGCGCTCGGGTGGTCTGCGAGGCCATGTGTTACTGCAGTAGATCTTCGCCGGCTTTCGACGAGCGCGGCGGAGATGTTGGAGAGGAGGGAGATGGCGAGGCCGACGGCGATGCGCTGGAGGTAGGAGAGGCCGGTGGGGCGGCGGGTGAGGCGGCGGACAAGGGGGGTGAGGAGGCGGTCGTAGATTGCGAGGGTGAGGAGCATGGAAACGATGGAGAAGATGGAGAGGGTGGCGGCGGGGATTTGGAAGTTTCCGGCGAGGTGGCGGTCCATGGATTTGGCTTGGATGATGGTGAAGGTGTGATTGTGGGAGGAGGCGGTGATGATAAGAATGCCGACGGACCAGATTGGGAGCATGCGGATGATGGATTTGAGCTCCTCGATGCGGTGGACGGTAGATAGTCGCCATGGACGTGGAAAGCCGGCGGCGGTGATGTCGGAATCGGTGCAGATCGCCGCCCGGTCTAAGAACCTACATTCGTTATCAGAAAAAATTAGCGCGTCGTCTCATTTGAACTTTGGAAATATATCATTCATAATTACATTTAAAATAATAATAATTAATTTTATTATTTTTATAGTTTTATTTGAAATAATTGGATTAGTATTTCTAACAAAGTTTTTAATCAATAATATAAAAAGTTTTGTTTAATCATATTCTTTTAGAGCAATTCATCAATAATTTTTTATTTCAATTCATTATATTTGTTTTAGATGAGTATATATATACATCAAAGAAATGACAATGAATTTAAAATGTATTTTAATTTAAAGTTTGATTTTTTTTTGTCCCTTCTTTCTTTGTAACATAAGAGCTTCTCTTCCTCTACTCTATCCTATTTCCTTGAGTTTCCTCCACTATTCTGACATCAAAGAACCTGTTCACTGCCGGTCTTCGAGAGAGGAAAAGTTACTACATCCGGACAAAAAATTGAAAATCCGGACGAATACCGAGCAATACCGAGTGCTCGGTACCGAGCACCCAGGTGACGTGGCGCTCTGTTATTGACCTCTGGACGCATTCAGTGTCCGGACACAATAATTACTCTCGAGAGAGTGGCCTTCAAGAGAAGAAATTATTAGGAGCGAACAATTTTTGCATATGACAATGGAAAAAATTTATTGGATGGTAGACCCAAAATCTGACCTAAAAAAATTTGGATTCGAGTCAATCCGTTTATGAAACGGGTCAGGTCCAGGTTCGAATTTCTGACCCGTTTGAAAAACGGGTAGGGTTCGGGTTGACCCGGAATCCCACTGGTAAACCCGAATTGACCCGCATCCGCATCTAGTTGCAAATCGCGACTGTCACATCATGACAGCCATCTCGCGCAGGCTATGCCACTAAATTGCACGGGCGGGTCGCACCGGCAGGAATTCACGTCTTAGGCGTCTAGCCGTCCGTCGAGTCGTCGCTTCTTGACAACTGCATGCTATGGGCTACTCCTATATTTAAAATACTTTACAACCATTTTACCTTAAACCAAACAACTCTTTAATTAAATTCATGTTTTAAATTACAAATACGCATTATTAGAATTTGATCTTAAAATATAGTAAAGCCGGTTTACTTTCAAATAATTTCTTCATCAAATTTAGGGCTTATTAGCTGAATTTCTTGCCGCCTCTATGGCAGTAGAAAAAAAACATAACCCAACGCATCTCATTTGATAAATAAATCGATTTTTTTTAATTTATTTCCTAAAATTAACTTCTAAAATAGACTTACAGAGTTTAATTTTTTATATAAACCAGCTTTTGGAAAATTAGACAGCTAAAAATATTAAAAAATATTTATAATTTTACTCAAATTGAAAATAATTGGAGTCCATATGAATATATAAGTAAAAATTTTAAACTAGGTATGATTATAAATTTAATTATATAATTAAGCATAGTAAAAAAATTAAAAATAGATAAAATCATCCGTTAAATGGGCGATTGGTTGTTATCACCAGGGCGGAACTGTTAAGAGCAATTATAATATTTACTCTTGTATTCTGCTATCCAATTAGATTATGACAAGTGTACTTAGTTATACCAGCGATGGCTATAAATACCATACGGCTATCACTGTAATAGTTAAGAAAGTAATAAAACATTCTTCATGATTTCTTTATCTCCTCGCTGTTTCTCTTCTTCTCTACTTGCTTGTGTTTCTACATGGTATCAGAACTAGGTCGATCTTGAGGTTTAAGCCATGGCACATCAAGAACAGGCGTCATCCTCGTTCGCTACCACTTCCGTCACAGCGGTCAAATCTACGCCCATCTCCTCCTCATTAAAATTTGTAATCTCTAATCTCAAGTTCTTGGTGCCTCACGCCCTCACTCCGGACAATTTCCCAATTTGGAGCACTCAAATCGCCAAGTTATTTCGTGCGAACGGGTTCACAGCATTTCTTGATCCCAAAAACTCCTCGGGAAATGCCGATCCAAACATCGATACGCGATCTTGGATGGTTATCGATCAGAATTTGGCCACGGCCATGTGCTCCACCATTTCACCCGAGGTTCTTCCCTACGTGATTCATCTTGAATCCACCCAAGAAATATGGGCTACTCTCCATACCCGATTCCAATCTTCTAATCGCTCGAAGGTAATCCAGCTTAAACACGAGTTACATAACATTTCCATGCAGACGATGTCTATGACTCAGTACCTTACTGAGATCAAGAAAATCGTCGATCAAATCGCTTCGGCTGGCTCCTCGGTTGATCCCGAAGACGTCATTATATACATCTTAAACGGCCTTCCACCGGCATATCAGTCGTTCACCACTACCATCCGCACAATGCAAGGTTCGCTGTCTCTCGACACATTATATGCGCTCCTTATCAGTGAAGAAATCCATCTCAAGTCGGCGGCATTAAAATTTCCTAAACTGTCGGACAACCAATCAGCACTATATTCAGTTCGAGGCCGTGGTAGACGAGGACGGGTACGCCCGTCGTCTGGTAATACTTCTGGAGCTCCCACCGCAGCTACCTCCGCAGTCATCTGTCAAATTTGCAAGAAGAAGGGTCATGGCGCAGAAGTATGTTGGCATCGTCTTAATCCCAACTATACGCCTAATCAACCCTCGACTAAGAACAACAGGGCTCTCACGGCTCACCAAGACAGCACGACTAACTCTGATTGGTACATTGACTCTGGGGCCTCGTCTCACATGACGAACACTACTGACAATCTTGAATTTTACCATAACTACACAGGCAACGATACGGTAACTCTTGGGGATGGAAGATCCATTCCTATAGCACATACGGGATCGGGAATTCTTCCTACCCCAGCCCGTAAGCTTATTCTTTCCAAACTTTTGCATATTCCCTCGCTTTCCTAATTTACTTTCTATTTCCAATTTAGTTAAAGATAATTACATATCCATAACTTTTGACGAAAACGGTTTTGTATTCAAGGATCGGAAGACAAATCAGGTTATCCTTAGAGGACCGTGCAGCCACGGAAAGTACAAGGTTGCAACGGCTGCTCAACCTGCACCGGTTACTGCATTACAAGCCTCCAGAATTTCGTCGAACAGCTGGCACCTTCGCCTGGGTCACCCACATCAACGTGCAAATCGGCGCTCCGCTCCAAGTGGACATATCGGACCAAGTATAATTCTGATGGTTCTGTGGCAAGATACAAAGCGCGTTTGGTAGCTCAAGGGAATCAACAGGAATACGGAATTAACTATCAGGACACATTCAGTCCTGTCGCCAAAATTCCTACTATTAGGATTCTCTTCACGGTGGCTCTGTTTCATAATTGGCGTATCCAACAACTCGACGTCGCCAACGCATTTTTGCACGGCGATATCCACGAGACCATATACATCCAGCAGCCTAAAGGTTTCGAAGACGCCACTAATCCTCTTCATGTATGTCGGCTACACAAAGCCATTTATGGCCTGCGTCAAGCTCCCAGACTTTGGTATACAACCTTTACCTCCTATCTCCGTCAGCTAGGATTTTCTCACAGTCAGGCGGATCCTTCTCTTCTCATAATGCACAAGGCGACTACACACATCTACCTATTGGTCTACGTCGACGATATACTCCTCACAGGCATAGCTCTTAGAGAGATGAACTTATAAATAAAACCTCTACACAATGTGTTTAATTTTGCTAAAGAGAATTAGCCTAAAGTTCATATTATTTTAATTTTTTTATGAGGGATAATTACACCTTTGGTTAATAAAGAGAAAAAAAAGATGGAGAGTGACAAATTACCTAAAGATCTACATAATAATGAATTTTTTTAATTTTTTAGGGAGATAATCGCCCCAGTGGGTAAAGGGGGATCCACCTCTGTCTGTCACTGTAGCAAGAGAGAAATTATTCTGTTCGGACACCGAACACAATTTACCGTCCGGAGAACAACTAAAATGCACCACGTTAGCAGACCTAACTGGCACATTCTGATTGGTCTATGTAAGGCATTCGCGTCCAAACAGAATAATTTCTTGTAGCAAGTAGCCTCTATTAGTAAATTTATTTAGGGAATTTATATTTTTATGTACATATTTTAATTTGATTAAATATTAAATGACATAAGAGTAAATATAAATATAAAATAATTATTAGACATATGAAAACACAAAAAAAAAAAAAAAATTATAGATTTTATATGTAAATCCCATAAATAAAATGAAAGAGTAAAAGCTCACGTGAAGTGTTCGGTGTGTAAGAGCCGTCCAGCCACTGATATGTCAGCATCCATCTCCTTATTCCGATACAGAACGCCGCTATCATCCGGCAAGGCAAGCTTCCGCTTCCGAACCGCCGCCACCACCACTTGTGCCAGTCGGGTCAGCGGGCTCCCCCCGGGCTTCCTTCTTATATAAAGCGGGTACCCTATAATAAAAGCAATTACAGAAAAGAACATAACGACTGTTGGGATACCGAAGCCCAAACCCCATCCCACATTGTCCTGTATGTAAACCACCACCGTGAGAGCCATTAACAATGCTACCCCCATGCTGAAGAAATAGAGGTTGAAGAAGTTCCATTGCTGGCCCGACCCACCGGCCCGTTGCTGCCGACGGTCCAGCTCGAACTGGTCCGCCCCGAACGCGACGACGCAGGGTCGGATGCCGCCCGACCCGACCGCTGTGAAGAAGAGGGAGATGTAGAAGATGGCTAACTGGCAGGCCGAAGCTTGCTGGCAGGATGGCGACTGGGAAGGGCACGGCGGCGGGCGAAGGGCGGGGAGGATTGCTGATATGGTAACTCCCAACATGCCCTGAATTTCATTGAAGTGAAATTTAGGTTTTGTTGGGGACAGTTAATAAATTAATTTTTTTGCATAATTTTTTTTAAATAGTGAAATAATAATAATCACATCAAAATTATAATTATGATCTGAAAAAATAAAACGGTAAGCTAATCCAAATGAAGCTTAAGTAAATAACATCTAATTAAATAATTTAATTTTTTTGGGAAAAAAAAGCATTTCGTTTGAGGAAATGATGTGATTATCCATCCAAAAAGTTCTGGCTTTATATAGATATCTACTTTGAATGCTATTGATTATTATTAATATAATTTTAAGTTTATTTTATATTAAAATTTCTTAAACAAATTAATTCATGAGCTAATGAGTATAGTCGAAACTATCTCACGCATGTCCCGTTAGTTCATTAAGAACGGCTCATGAGCGATTTATTGAGCCAAATGCAAACCATCTTACAAGTCGGCTTTACTCACACCCCCATTTAAGTCTAACAAGACAAGTCTGTGTGTTTTCATCATTTTATGAGATAAATTATTTGAATTTACTACCAAATCTATTGGTGCTCATATTGAATTGAGTTATATATTACGATGAAGGTAAAATTTTTGCTCCTGATTATATTTTATAATTAAGAGTTTGGCTAAAATCATTATGTATTTAATTTATTCTGTTTATGTAAGATATAGAGGGAATGGTTTACTTGTTATTTTATTTATTGGAAAAATAATTGGTCGACTATGTCTCATCATTTGGTAAGAATAATAAGTTTTAAAATAGGTGGATTTATATTGAAATAAGTAGAATATAAATTTTGATTGTATTTTCATATATTTTATTTATATTAAAATAAAAATAATAACTCTAATTAAGATTTTGTCAGAAATTATTTTTCTAATTTGTTTTCATTTATATTATGCTTTTAAGGTGAAAATTCTTATATGGGAATGTTCTAAAAAAAAGATGGTGATGATGGATCTTTCTGATGAGTGTAGAATATACTGAAAACACAACTCATTTTGGCCTGTTGGTTGTGCCTTCTCCATAGCAGTTTTTGTATATGCGGTGTGTGTGAGAGTTTTTCTTAAATGACCTACATGTCTAAAAAAAAAAGTATATACTGAAAATTTGAAGCGTCGGTTTATAAATTGCTGTTATAGAGAGGTATAGACGTCGGTTTTAACGAAGCTGCTATGGAGAAGGCAACTTTGCTACTATGGTTTGAAAAAGTAATTTTACAACACAAATATTTTTTAAAAGCGTTGAAAAAATAACAAAAAAAATAGTAATAAAATAAAATTATAATTGCTATCTCGAAAATAAAAAAAATCAGAAAGTTGCGCTAAATATACTCTAAATCAATCAAATTTGAAGCTCAACATGTCTAAAAATTTGATGGTAACCTTTTTTGCCCTTTTTGAAGTTATACTAAAATTTATCTGAGTTGGAAAAAAAAAACAGTATCATATTTTTTTTTGGGGGGGGGGAAAGTAGTATCATAATTTTTGGTTGTTCAGTTTTTTTATCATGAAAAGTAGCAGCATATAAAAGATTTAAATGGACAAATTAACAACTGTTCAAAAAAAAAATTCTTAATAATCTGAATCTTACTAGTTGATAGATCATGGAACCAACGGCTATAGTCCAGAAACGGCCAGCAAAAGAGTCTGCAATAAGGGCACCGATGATCGGTGTGAGGCTGGCTGTGCCACCAAAGTTGTTAAGAGTATTGGTGGCCTGAATAAGAGGAAGATGGAGCTCATTCTGAAGGTATTGAACCATATTAGCATTAAAACCAGCTGTGGCAAACCGGTCGCAGACTTCATTTGCTGCAGAAAGAAAATAGGAAAGTTTAGCCTTTAAATCTCTGAAGATATATGAAGCAGGGCAGGGAAATTAAAAATTAACGGTCACCTAATATGAAAGGCATGGTTTTTAGACCACCCAACTTCTTCTTCTTCTCATCTTGTCTTCCTTCTCCGGCCATCCCTTTGTCTTCTTTTACTGAAGGGCGAGAAGAGCTACAGTGTGGTTTCAGAAAATTATTGTAGAGTAAAGAGTGGAAAGACTGTGCTTCTATTTAACTATGGTTGCATGTGAAGAGAACTGAAAGGAAAGGGATGTCCGCATAGGGTATTTATAGCATTTTTACAGCTCTGAAATGAGTGGTGCGCCCAAGTATTGTAGATAGTTGATGAAAGTGGGCATTTTGAATGGTCAGGAATACAAAACGGAGATGCTTCTCTTTTCTTAACTTAACACTAGCCAGTGAAAATTTTGATCTTACACGGGTGCCGTTATTCTCTGAATGTTGTTCGGAGAACAATCAAAATGTGCCTCGTCAGCAATACAAGCTGCGGTACTGAGCAAGGGATGATGTGGCGCAGTATGATTATTCATACGGTTATCTGAAACGGGACTAAGAAGTTTTGAGGGGGATTCTGATCTTATACGGGGTGCCGTTATTCTCTGAATGCTATTCGGAAAACGATCAGAATGTGCCACATCAGCAATACAAGCTGCGGTACCGAGCAAGGGGTGACGTGACGCATTCTGATTGATCTCTAAAAGACGTTCGACTTCCTCATAGAATAATTAATCGTTATTCAGACGTTTATCTGAAACAGGACTAAGAAGTTTTTGAGGGGGATTTTGTTTTAAAGTTCTAGGTGACATTAGTTAGGTGATAAAAAATATAATATTTAATATCAATATTTTGACATTGAATTTCTATTTTATCATAATTGTAGTTTTACATTTAACCTTTTAAAATAATAATAATAACTATAATTTAAAATTTTTCAGTTCAAAAGTTGTTAAATTTTTATCTTACATAAAGAAAATACCTTTAAAGATGTGGTTTTTAATGAAGTGGGGAGCTTTTGACAACTAGTGGTATACCTGTCATTGGTTTTTTGACGTTTTGCTTTTTTTTATTGGATATTTGGCAGAGAAAGGATATGGTGGATTGAAAGCTTAGCATACCTTTCACACCCAAAAATAAAAAGCTTAGCACACCCAAATACAAACTTCATTCACAATGTTCAATAAAATCATCACTATTGTCAAGTGATTGGGCACATCTATAGTCGGCCCTTCACATTGCTTAACCTGCTATCAAGTTGATCCAAAGAGTTGCTAGAGAAGAAAAAGTGGTCAAAGATCTTGCTTAATCTTCCATTTAGCCAAGAGACCATCATCTCAATAACTTTTTCTTAATAGTAGCACCTCATTGCTTCTAGCCTGTAGGAGGTTCAAATCCTATTATTTCATCTTGATCTCTACAAATAGAAGTATAATCCCCTTCTTTGACTCGCTCGTAGTCGCCCATATGAAGATATGTGTTATTGCCTCGGTGATGACCCTCAATAGTTTTTAGAAGGTCTTCAGAGACACTTATTTTAGAATTTTTTTCCATCAATACCAAAAAAGAACCCACTCATCACATTTGTTCTTGGAGGTGGTAAGTAAAGTCAGGGGAGCAAAGTCTTCTTGAATAGCCAATAAAGCCTTTCCAACTCTTAAGGAAGATAACTAACTTTGTTAGCGTAAAATGTGTTTTTCTACTCTTTGCTAGGCATATCAGCATAAACCAACAACTCTTGAAACTCATCTCCTTTCTCCTAATGAACCCCATAATACTCCTATTTTTGGTAGAGGAAGAGAAAACATCTTCCCTTTTCACCAGTCATCCCTATCAAGAAAGGACATGAAGCATCATTCCTTGCCCTTGAGCATTATCCATACCTATGGTCGGAGATATCATAACATGTTCATTGTTGGACTTGATTATGTTCACTACCTCTTCACTAGGCATGACCTTCAAATGAACTAGGGTGGCTAGCTCTGATGTCTTTTGTTTATTATTTGTGAACTTTCTTTAGAAATCTCCTAAAAGTATGCTTTATACTCAATATAAGCACAATTAAAATGATGAACACAATGAGGAGTCAAACATCGAACAATGAAAATTCTAATTGTAATAACACTCAAATTTTTAACTATCAAGATATTGTCTGTTTTGGTTTAAGAGCCTCACAGTATTATCATGTTGGTGTAACTTCCCAGGAGACCACGCATCCCAAAATTTCTCTGGAATGAGCATGCTTAAATACGAAGTTTCTTAATGAAATTTCAATAATTACATCTAAAAGAGCATCGGCGTTTAGGAGTTTAACTTCTTTTATTTAAGCGGTTTCACAATCTTCCCCTCTTAAATAATTGACGTTCTCATTAGCACCTTTATCCCAAAATCATCCATCAGACAGATAAGATTCTAGAGGTGGCCCATATAAGTTTAAGTGGTGACCCCACCATATAACACTTTGTCACATACATGATTTAAGAGGTGGCTCTCATGATGTTGCACTTTATCTTGAATGTCACTTAGTTCATATCTTTTGGTTGATGTATTGCTTTGTTACCATATATAACAGCCCAAACACTTAACTATAAAAATATTAACCGCTTTGGCCTAAGGGTCTCACGATTTTGTCCTAATAACCCATCCCAGGATTTCTCCAGAATGAGCATACTTAACTGCGAAATTTCTTAACGAAATTTCAACCATACACCAAAATGTACCTCAATGTTTAAGAGTTATACTTCTTTTATTTAAGGGGGTTCACACTAATGCCCTAGCCACATATTTATAATAATTTAAATCAAAAAATATGCACTCTTAATTTTCTACAACTTTTAAATAGTTTCATCTCAATCCTATATATGATAAAGTGGTAGTATCATTTCCGATTTCTTATTGGGAAATTTTTCTTGACATTGGGAATCCTTCTCAATTATAAGATGTCTTTTTCAATTCCAAAAACCTCTTTCCAATCCTAGGGAGTTTTCCTCAATCTTAAGAGGTTTTCACCTTGGTTAATTCATCTCTCACCTCTCACAAGAGAGAGAGAGAGAGAGAGAGAGAGAGATTCAATTGTACATTCTTGTATTTATTTAATTTTGAACCATCGTAATCTTAAATCTTGATCCAAAAAAATTCTCCTAAGTCAATGCTGATACCATATTTTATCAAAGACTTGTAATGACAATATATTAACTCAACTCTAAATGCAAGATTATCATGATGTCAAGAAATAAGAGATAATAATTCAAAGTCTATAAAAGCTCATTTAAATGCTTTAGGCATGACTTCTAAAGCCCTTCCAACTCTCAAGTCCATAAGATCCCTTGCTAGTTGAAGCTCTTGTCTCTAAATTCTACTTTATCTTTCCTATATAATGTGGTTCTTGTAAAACTCAAGTGATCATAATGAAAATTTTTTAATGTAGTCTTACCATAGCATGCATAGGTCAACATGATCAACCACTTCAAATCCTATGATTTCTATTTCTCATTAGTTTGTTATTCGCTTTGTTACTTCTAATTTCACCATATTCATATTTTGATTAACTCTAGTTGTAGTGGCTTTTTCTTCTATCTTGAACCTTGATAAAAAACCCTATTATTACCTTCTCGAGTAACCCCACCCCCAGTTTTCATCGTTAACAACCATCTCAAAATATAATCTACATTATATAGAAATAATTTTATGAATAGATCATTATGTCTCTAATTATAAACCAATTTGAGCTTCTTCAGCTACTCTTTTGCATTATGTGCTTTGTGAAGGTCCTTTTCCTTGACATTGTTGATAGTTAGGATAGTCCTTAATCGTGTTGATAGTTTATAATGTGATAATTGGGGTCTTCTGTGACTTGACATCTAAATTGCGAGTTTCAAAAAATATATAATGCGGCCAATTTAATCTCAAATTTTTTGCCTAGATCTTAAGCTTAATAATAACTTGGGGAATGTCATGGATGGTCGGTAAACCATAATATCTCAAAGCCAGGGCCCCCATGGCCAGGCTTGCATCATCTTCCTCGTTTTCAATGGTGATTGGCATAATTATATGATTCGCCTCCTATCATTTATTTTTGTGAAGTTCTATCAATCGATAATGATTGTTCATCACTTGAAGGTGCATGCACTAGAAGCAGAGCTTAAGAAAGACAACCAAAACAAAACCATGTAAAATAAAATTAAAATCATTCAAAATAGGGAAAATTCAACTTCATATCAATATTGGCATTTACAATCCCTAGCTAGCAATGGATCCAAAAAAAAACTTGTTATAAATAGGCATACAACAAAAATACATAGTAATAAAGTGATGTGTATCAACTATTATCCCACATAGGCTATACATTTAAAAATTGAATTTTACTATTTTTGGTTGAATTTTATTATTTTTGAACAATCAATACGAAATGGTGATTTATAGAAAAGAGAAAATAAATAAAGTATAAAAATGAAAGAGCGTCTTGGGTTGTAAATCAAGTGAAATAGACCTAAGTCTTAGATTTTACTTGAATTCCTTCTACATATTTAAATTTGATACAATCAAAAAGTTACAGAAGAGTTTATTGTAATCATATATATAAATGCTAGAATCTACATTTTTCTAAAAAGTGTACCGTTATTAGGGGTGTCAATTTCGGGTCACGGGTCGGGTTCGGGTCGAAACCGAGCTGACCCGGGTGCAAACGGGTAGACCCTAACCCGACTCGGGTAAATAAACGGGTCAGAAATCCAAACCCGGACCCGACCCGGTGGGTTGTCGGGTTCGCGGGCAAGTCCGGGGCAGTGGGGCAGCGCGGGATTTTTTAAATTAAACAGGTTTTCGGGTTGACCCGGAAACTCGGCCGGTCAACGCGAACCCGACCTATTTTTTCAAACGGGTCAAATATGCGAACCCGAACCCGACCTGTTTTTCAAACGGGTCGGGTCCAACCCGGATTTTTCGAGTCTGATTTTCGTGTCGTGTCAAATATTGACAGCCCTAACCGTTATTAACCTCTCAACACAATCTTCGTATATCCTAATAAAAGATTCAATATAATTTCTTTAATACAACATACAATATCTATTAGATTATATAAGTTCAATATAGATATCTCTATCCCATGATCCATTGTGATATTTCACCCTTAATGAGTCTCCATTTTCTGCCTCTCAACTTCAAATGGACCTCCTAAACTTTTGACTTGTGGAAAAGTAATTAAATTAAAATACATCACAAGATGAAAAGCACAGCAATAAGATTGTAGCA